ATACTATTAAAAAACTAAATTTAATTAAATAATTAATAATAAAAAACAAAAAATATGTATCCAAAAAGTAAAAAATGAAAATAAATTAAATAATAGAATGAAAATCCCTTAAAGAAGATGTCTAGATTTTGGACTCATAATCTCCTTAATCCTCTACTTTGGTTTGTTAGAAAAAAATAGTAATTAATAGTATTGTATCTATTTTAATATCTTGATATTGATGCTTTTAATTTATAATTTTTATCATATTAAATTTAAAATTTGAAATTAAAAAATCATCTATATAATAAACAAAGACTATAACTCGAAAATCACTAATAAGAAAAGAGAAAGTTAAAAAAAATCAAAATTTGAAATTATAAGTACTTATAATTGTCTAAGAGAGCAAAAAAGGGAAAAAGTTATTAACTATGTGTATGATATGTATTTAGTTTAGGATTTATTATTTATAAGTTATTTGTGTGATTTTTTTATTTTTATTTTTGTATTTATTATTTTTATTTTTAAAAATTATTGTTATTATATGATATTATGTATAATAAGTATATATAAAATTTCAATTATATAAATATGAATAACATGTCAATTAAATAAAACAATTAAAAAAGAAGGTAAATAATTTTAAACTTTTCTATTTGTTATTTAATGTGATACTTACAAATATATTATTTTTATATTTATTATTCACTTAACTTTTTTTACCATTTAAATAAAGTACAGGTAAAGTACTTTTAAGTGACAGATGTACCCCTACCAAATGCTCATCCCTGTACTGACTGGAAGTCTGGAACCCATTAAATAGGCCCAAAAAGAAACCCATGTCAAACGCAACGAACCCATTAGGCCCAAAAAGTAGATCCTTATCGACGTGTCATCAACGAGATTGCTGCTTTCAGAATTGTCTTAATTTGGAAGTAATCAATTTCCCAATCAACTAACGAATTGAGTGATTTCTCCCACGCAGCAGTCTAGATCCAGCACCGGTGTCGGTACACTGTTTGTTTCCTCAGAAACGGAGGGAGAAACAGTGAGAAAATGGAGAAGATGAACCAGGCGTTTGAGAAGATCAGGGCGAACCAAGCGTTTGAGAGGGTCAAGATGCTGGTAGGAATGGATGTCGAAGACGAACAACAGCAAGCCGCCTTAGAAGACGGGAACTCTTTCTCCTTCATGGACGACTTCAATCGCCGCTGCACCTTAACCACCAAACAGGTTTCTCTTTCTTTTTCTTTCTTCCTTCTCCTTAACAATTCAACTCTGTTCAGCATTTATTTTCTGGATACGTTCATAGTTGAATTCTAGAGATGAAATTTTGAAATGATTTTCATTGTTTGTTAGTTTCTTTAGTTCTTCGAGCTAAAATTCGCTAAAATTGCTAGTTATGCAGAATGTAGATATTGAAATTAGCTTAGATTGGTCAAATATTGACATTACTACCATGTAAAGTTAAATTCTGTTGTGGATTCTGGAATGATTTCCGTTGGTTGTGAGTTTCTTCAGTTCTTCAAGCAAAAATTCACTAAAATTGGTAGTTATGCAGAATGTAGATATTGAAATTAGCTTAGATTGGTCAAATATTGGCATTACTATTATGTAAAGTAAAATTCTGTTGTGGAAACATCTGATTTTCATCATAATTGTACATTTGATGCAGAGATTTGGACTCTATCTTCAGCTAAGATTTCTATGATGTCTGATACTCTGATTTGTTATTACTTGTTAATGTTATGTTCTTTTTGACCAATTGCTGTCTTTCTATATCTCTCATTTTAGAGGCTTTACGGTTTTGCAATATGCTTGGTTTCTGGTGTTACTTTCACACTCTTGGTAAGTATTAACACAGACATCTATATGTATAATTCCTTTTATTTTTATTATAATTTATAATCTACTGCTTTTTCATCTATTTACTCGACATATGCCTTTAGCCGTGCATATAGAGGCCACTGCACAAGAAGAAAAACTATCTTTCTACTGGAAATTGATTAAACCAAAGATGGGATGTAAAACTTCTATTACTCTAATACTTTAAAAAATTACTTTCAAGACAATGTCTTTAGCAATTAGCAGCAAATGAAGGATGTTTAGTTCAGTAGCATTCCTTCTCTATTTTTGTAAAGTACCCTTTTTCAACCATCTTCTTTCCCCCATGTGCCCTTCCCCTTCATTTTTATTTTCTTTCTAGCCATAGAAATTCCAGTCCATGAGTTAGAGGACTTACATTTTGAAGCTTTCAACTTTCAGTTAGATCCGTTATCTGTATGATATGTGACCAATTTACATACAGTCTTATCTGCATCTACCAAGCACTGGTTTGATGTTATAACTGTTGTTTTTGATGATTTCTCCTCCATCTGAGAATATTTTAAAATTGCATGAACCAAAAACTGTTAAAAGCCATTGCCTATTGTTAGGCAGTTTGCATCAACTGGCAAATTCTCATTAGTTAGTAATCTGATTGTTATAGAAGCTCAATGTCAAAATGAAGGCATTCTGTAATTGATTGCTTTATAAGATTATTTACAACATACAAATAATTTCTTTTACCTGCTAAAAGTAAAAGTTTCGACTATTGGAGATGTTGGGTTTAATACCAAGTAATATCACATTTTCAGTTGGATCATTCTTAATCTGGAAAAGTGAGGTTGCATGGAGCTGACCCATAATTTGGTTTTTGGTGTGCCTATTGCAATTATTTGCTTCATGTGGCTGGATATTACCATTTCACTAATCTTATTTCTTTAAATGTCAAAGTCAGTTCTTGTGTTCTTCAACCCAATCAAATTTGGAATCACATTCACATTTGGCAATTTACTTTCACTTGGGAGGTTTGTATTTCAGTTTTATAATTCAAACTCTCCATAATGCTTATTTGTTAATATCAAGTATTCATATGCATAAGTGAATATGTCTGTTATGTGCATTTTTCCTGATATATTCGTTTTTGGGATTTTTATGTGCATCTTAATGGTGGTAGCTGCAGTTTACATAGGTCTAACTATAATTTGGATGAGATCTTGTCTGTTCTCTTTATCATAAGTTTGGCAGGAGTGAAGGAAAGAAATTAAAGAAATTTCTTTTTCTCATTTATGTCAATTAAGAAAAAGTGAATAAGAGAAATTATATCTCTCAAGGTTTACTACTAGCTTCACTAACTTCCTTTTCTTGATTGTTTCACTGTCTTTCCAATTCCATGTCCACACTTCTTGTTGTAGCATTACAAGTAAAATCATTGCTCCTCTCTCTCTCTTTTTGATTTTTTTTTTCTTCTGTTCCCTCTAATTTTTGACATGTACCCCTAATTTTCTCTCTTTCAACCTTCTCCTCTTCCATCTGAATGCTCTCATCAACTCCTGATGGTATGACTTTAGTTCAACTGTAAAATGAATCCTTTTACCATTATTTTTTGACAAGTTGGTTTTGTAAAATGAATCCTTTTACCATTATTTTTTGACAAGTTGGTTTTGTAAAATGAATCCTTTTACCATTATTTTTTGACAAGTTGGTTTTGAAGTGACATGCTAGAGTTCTATTTCAACTTTGGGATTTCCCACTAGTTTCTTTCTTGTTCTGTTGCTTATTTAAAATATAACTGCTCCTTATCTGTTATAATTTCATCTCTTTTTTGTTTTTGTAATTATTTTTGTACCTATTGGTTTTATCTCAGATGCTAAGATGGAGTCTTTTGTATGACAGCACTGCATTTCTCATTGGCCCAAAAAGGCAGTTCACCATGATGCTTGATCCTGTTCGTATCTATGCAACAGCGATATATATTGCAAGCATGATCATTGCCCTGTTTTGTGCTTTCTATGTAAGTCTTCTTTGACCTTTTGTTTTCATTACTTGTTGGTTATCCCATTAGCCATATATTTAAATGATTACTGAATATATTAAACAAGGTGATAATGATAAATCTTCTATTTGCATTAAACAGGTTCACAACAAGCTGTTGACACTTTTGGCAATTATTTTAGAATTCGGAGCACTTATTTGGTTTGTCGAAGTCCTCATTTTTCTTTAATTGTTGTCTTATTTATATTAATCTACCATATCCTAGTGACCTGCATTTCTATGCAAAACCAAAAGTAAAATGATATCAACGTCAATTCAGTGGTTAACATTGAGTATGATAAGTTAGAACCATGTGGCATAACACAAAATCCTCCCAGGAAAATGAAAATCTTACATGTTGTGAGCATTTAAGCACTACAATATCCCTATTTTCTGATCTTTCAACCGTTAGCTTTTCATAGCAGCTGCAGCCCTATTCCCTCTTGACCTGATTTGAATCCATCTCCCAGTTATTCCTCCTTTCTCCTTGTCTCTCTCTTTCTGCAACATCCATCATCCACCAATAGAAACCTTTGTGGCATCAAGCTGTGGTTCCAAGACTTAGCCACCATTGCTGTGTCCCCAGCATTCTTAATAGCTCACTGGTCAAAGTTTTAATAATTGAAAGATTGTTATCTTGTGCACTTCATTTCATCATGTATGCTCATCTTTTCTTTTGTTGTTCTCTTCATGATTTGCAGGTATAGCTTGAGCTACATTCCTTTCGCGAGGTCCTTGGTTTCAAAGATCATGTCAGCTTGCTTTGACACTGAATTTTAGGCTTGTGTGGAACGAACAAGAAGATCGTAGAGGGATCTACTCCAATTTAAGATGTATCAGTTTTTTTGGCCGTCAATTTAGATGTATCAGTAAATGAATCTGAATCATGTATGCTAGCATCCTTTTTTATTTTTATTTTTTTCGTGGTTTGTGGGATCCCATCTGTCTTTATTCTTATGGGTTATGATTGATAAGGCTGCTTCCATTGAAACTGAAGCCACCTTGCTGAGCAAATTACATAGGTATTCTCCAGATATGTGAATATGAATTTTGTGTTATTTTCCATGAATATGAAGTTAAATTCATAGTATTTGCTAAGATATGGAAGCTTTGATCTCTCCCACTCCCCGTCGCTGTCCCTATAATGCAATCTTGGTTCATGAAAACAAAAGATATATATATATATATATATATATGAACAGGATAATCTGGAAGAATAGGAAATGAGATCTATGGGGTTTTTAGCACACATCTACAAGAGGTAATCTCCACTTTAATTAAGGGTTGTGGTCACTAGGTTGGGGCATGGGAATCTAAAACGAAAGATATATACAAATGATGAAGAAAACATCTAAATTTTTTATTGAACTTGATCTTAAAATGAAATCAAAGTTACAAATAAGAAAAATCCCATTGGGAACAATCCAATATAGCAAAACTCGAACTCGAATGGATGGAAGGAGATTTCTGAAATGTTTGCTGAGCCGAAAAATGGGAATTAGGAAATGGTGGCTATCTTATGTTGTGACACTGTTATACCCAATGGAAAAGGAGAAAGACATAACATTGCAATTTTTCTTGTATGGATCCGCTTTTGAAAAATATCTTCTTTGTTATAGAAGTTAAAGATAGGTTAAACACAGTTATATATATATATATATAAGATATTTTAATTTTTGAAGAAATACAATCATAGTTAAAGTTAGGTTTTGATGTGAAAAGTTTGTTTTTGATTGGATTAAAAATAATTAGTTTTAAAATATATAAATTGACTTTAGACACACGGCTGCTAAAAGAAAAAGAAATTATTGAAGTAAGAGTTCTAAACTTGTAGATTTTTTTGCTGTTAAGTTTCTAATTTGATAATTTTGATCAATTTTTAAAATTTTTTAATAATTATTTTATATGAATTAATGATTTAACATTTAGGCAAAAGAACAATTCAAACAGAACTTATGCGAGAAGATACCGTTAGTACAAAATAACCTCTTAGACCTTTTTCTTTGAATGGTGCAATGTTTTCTTTGCTTTAATTTACTTTCACTCTTTCTAAGGAGATGCCGTCATTGGCCAATTGCTTTAATCGGCTCACTCCCACCATCCAGTAACACATTTTTAATTACTAAAACAAGGCTTTACGAATTGTCCTTAACATTAATTATATCTTAAGCTAGCTGATAAAAAAAATATATTCCCATCAAAGAAAAAAAAATCATATTTTAAGCTAAAGAGCAAAGAAAAGTTGTTAAAAAAAAAAAAAGGCAACGAAAAGAGGTTACGGAGATTTGCCGTTTAGCGGCCGCACTTAACAATAAACAAATTTAGGAATCATTTGCAGAGGCATTATGTACATACAGGGATCATGGAAGCATCAATTACTGCCTATGTTTTATCATAATTAAACCCCTAATTAGCATTTAATTAGGAATCCTAAGCTCAAACCTAGCATCCATCAGCCTCTAGTGAATAGATAGATTTGGGGCAAAGTCTCATGCAAAATGTTAGAAATGTCTTCTGCACATGCCCCCCAACTAGTACTTAATTGGGAAGATTCCACTTCACCTACCTATGGTTTTAGATAGCTGCACATAACACCCCTATTGAGCTTTGCACTAGGTGCATATAACCATTTAAGGCTACATGAAATGTCTTAAATGCCACTAACCTAGAAGAAAGAAGAAGAAAAGTAATTCAAGGGCATTTAGGAAATATAATGTAATTTCAGGTGATTTATGTGCACCTAGATACGAATTTCTAGTATTTATGTGCATGTATTGAAACTTCAAGAGTTATATGTAACTATCCGAAACAATAGGTAAGTTGTGTGCACATTTTAAATTTTAAGGGCTTATGTTCACTCACCCAAATAATCACCAAAGAAAGTTATTTGCAATTTTCCCTAGTTAATTATTTAGTTACTGACTTTTGTTTTATGCTTCGATAAACCTGGCATATATGTTAGGTTTCTGAAATCATACTGCTTCTTTCCCTAAAATTCTAATCTCAATGAAGACCCTACCTGGTTGATTTATAGGACCTTTTTAGTTTTTACACCAAACAAGACAACTCCTTTTTTGGCTTGTTTCAAGCCAGAGATTCGAAGCATGTAACTCATTTGCTTTTCAGAAATTTCCACTACTCCAGGATCTCTACTTTGCCCTTTCTTTTCCAAATATTGTACACAGACATGTTTATTTAATGTTTTTTTCCCTTCTGATATCAAGGATCTTTAAGGTATGGCATTTTCTTAAGACTTCTAATTTTATGCTATAAAATGTGTTAAGTTAGTCTGCACTCAGAATCAGAGATTGGAAGTTAGCACACACCAGCTTGACTAACCTCTTGTTAGCACTTATAGAACATCCTCATTATTTAAACATCTAAACATAGTTAAAAAGAAAACATTTCTGTTCCACAGTACATATATAATTCTTGCTATCACATATACCCAAAACACTGACATTTATTTAACACTCAAAACTAGACTAGCGTTGTACTAAAAATTAAGAAAACTGCAAACACAGGAACTAGAAGGAAAATCCTAATTAGTTGGAAAAAAATAATTTAGCCTAAAATAAGAAGAACATTGAAATCTAGTTGAAGGCATAGAGAGTACTTCAAGTGGTTGGTTCTATTTTCTTGGCCAAGCTGTGTTTATTATTGTGCATCCACACCTTAAGCACTCTCCTCTTGATCCCAAGTTCTTGGCAAAACTGCTGCACAACAGAGTCTTCCAGCTTCTGAATTCTCCACCCTGCCCTCTCTGCAAAGTCGAGCATTTTCTCCTTCTGTTCTTGTGTGAACTTGGTCCTGAACCTTTTCCTCACCTTCTCAACTGACCTCGCCACCACAACCCCACCTCCTCCATCATCTTTCTCATCAGATTCAGAGGGAGCATTAGACCCTCCTTTGTAGGACACTATCACCTGGTGGGGAGGGTCTACCCTTGAAGCAATCAAGTTCCCTGCTGAAATGTAATTGTGAGGCCCCAAAATGAGTTTCCTTCCACCATTGTTTAGCACTGGAGAGTGGTAGCATTCAAAGGGGCAGTCACATTCTATCTCTTTCCTGTGGAAGTTCCGGTGGCAGCCGCAGGCAGAGCACTTGAGGGCTTCAATGGTGCCTTCCTCTCCACTTGGCATAAACTCTCCACACCCATCTATGGCATTTCCTCCAATGGCAGCTGCATGGTTCTTCATACAATCCTTGTACCTCACCACTGTTCTCTTGTACTGCCGGTAGTTCTCCTCCATGCTCGGAGAGGTAGGTCCTGTTGGAGACAGTTGAGCTGCTGAACCTGAAACATGGCTGCCATTTCCTCTACCACCTCCACAATTTTTCGAGATCTGCATGTCCTTTTGAGGGCTTGAAACATTAACATTAGACATCATTTCTCCAAAAAACAAAAAAAAACCTTCAATTTTCTTCTAGGACTCTTCCTACCTTCTTTCACAAACAAAGAAAAATCAACTGAGACATTTTGTCAAACCGATGGAGATCTGTTTTCTATGGATTATGGATGGAGACTAAATGAAGAGGAAAACTGACACCATTAATCGCTTTTCTCCTATATATTGGATAGAGAAGAATGAAGTGGAACGAAGAAGGTTCAAAGACAAGTGAGTAAAGGACCAAGTCATTGGATTCTCTGAAAAGATGTGAGTTTAAATATGTCTTTCATAAGAAACAAAGACAGCCCTAAACAAATAAGAAAAAAAAAAAAAGGAAAAATGAGAAAATGGGGAAGGATTAGGGAAGCTTAGAAGAAAGAGAGTCCTTTTGGTGGTGAATTTTAGAAGTGAAGCAAACTATTGGGAGGTTTTATATAATAAATTAGTGATGGAGATGGGTGGGAAGGACCAGAGAAATTAAAAGATTTAGTGCAAATATTAAGTTGTAGAGCAACTAACTACACCTCAAAAATTAATGTTCAGAGAAGAATAGAGAGATAGATACAAACGAAATAGAAATACGGACAAATATTTAAGGGTATAAATGGTTCTTATGACCATAGTCTGCCTTGCTTTGCTTGCACTACCCGCTATCAAGCACGGGCAAAAAGTGCTTGAAATTGTTGTCTAGACTCAAATTGACAAAAACAGCCTTTCATCAATACATCCCAAGTCTAAATTCAAGAGTATAAAAAGGAGTTTGTCTATTTTGTTATCTTAGGAAATAAGATAATGAGCAATTACTCCCTTTAATTCAAAATAATAATTATTTTTTTGACTTTCTCAAAGTATAAAAATGACAATTATTTTGCACCGAGCCCACCGAGCCCTTCGGGTCAAGTGGCAATAGCCACCTCACGGTGCACTCCCCCCTCCCCTTGGGCTGGGGTTCGACCCAACTCCTTGTCAACCTGTTCAAAAAAAATAAAAAAAAGACAATTATTTTAACAGAGAAAGAGTATTAACCAATGTTATGGTCTTTTATTTAAAGACGTGAAATTTTAAAGGCAAAACTTTATGTTAAACTCTTGATTTTATCTCAAATTTTCAATTAAACTCTTAGGTTTTTATTAAAGCAAATTAGTCCCTGAACTTGTCAATCTAAACAATTTAACCCTCTACCTTAGGGGGGACTTAACACATGTTTGTGCTTTACTTGTGTGAATAAGGTTAATACCCAACATGTTGGTTCACGCAAGCGATGCACAAATAGATATTAAATTTGTTGTAAAGAAGATGGGTTAAATTGCCCAAAGCCAAGTTTATAGGCTTATTTTTGCTTCAATAAAAGTTTAGGAGCTTAATCAAGAATTTGAAATAAGTTCTAGGGCTTAACATAAGATTTTGCCAATTTTAAATTGAAAAGATGAGTATTTGATTTTTAATTCAAAAGGAATCAATAAAAACTTAACATATGATATTTACAATTAAAATAAAAGTTATTAACTTTATTTTTTCAAAACAAAAGATAATAATAATTATTTACTAATTACTTTTTATTCTATGATTTAAGGGCATAGAATAAATAAATCAACCATTAAAAAAAATATGCAAGAGTCTTGGAATCTCAGCAATGCCATGTCCTAGATTTGGTACCTGCGACTTTTACAAAGACAAAAAGGAATTGTTAATTTGGTCGGAACACCCTTCAGCCAGCTGCCTTTCGCCTCTCATTCTTATTATATTAGCCATTAGGTCCTAGATTTTGCTTGAGTACACATGGGCTGGTTATTAACATCATGATATGATATATATATATATATATATATATTTTAATTTTGGATTGTACAATGAAAGCAACCCTCTGTCATCTGTGATCCACTTCTACTTATATATTATATGACTCGAACTTTGGACTTTTAACTTTAATTGGAAAGAGATTATCATTAAATTATTTAAGTTGTTGGCAACATCATGATATGAAAAGAAAAATGAAAGGAGGGGGGGAGGGGGGGGGGGAACAAGGCTATAGATGAGTAGGCTTAAATTGGATAACCAAACTGAAGAGGTGAACTCACTTTGAAGTGAACTCTTAAACACCACAACCATATTAATTTTAGACAAAATCTAAAAATACAAGCTTTTACCAAATTTAGAATTGAGGGTATATGATTTATCAAAATAATAATAATAATAATAATGATAATAATAATAAAGAATTGAGGGTATATGAACTTTGATCATTCCAAAATAAGGAAATAATCTTTGATAGTTGAAAATAAAGATAATTTGGATAGAAATTGACATATTGGCATGTGTTCTGTTGGAAAAATCTCACATCGAAAAAATACCAAAGAAATATGTAAGTTAAATATAAAAAAACTATTCCACCCATGGCTAACTTGTTTTATATTGGATGTAAGGTTTGTGTTTAAGTTCACGTGCTCAGTTTTTACATGATATTAGGTTTCAGATTTCATCTTCAAAAAGCCTAAGATTGACATGATAAAACTTGATCCATAAATCTAAGAATGTGTCGAGTGAAAAAATCCCACATTGAAAAGTAATAAAGAAACATATGAGTTAAATATAAGAAAAATTACTCTACATATTGTTATTTAATTTTTTGTTAAATGCAAATCTTATAGTAAACCTCATATAAGCCCAATTGTCAAGAAATGGTGCAAATAAGGATGTGAACTTTGCATTTTTTTCTATTTAAGATGTTAATTTTGTTAATTTCTAAATAAAAATATCAACTTTTAACTTTTTCTATTTAAATATGCTAGTTTTTATTTTTTTTATTTAAGGATGCCAACTTTCAACATTTCAATTAAAAAATTTATTTATCATATTAGCATTATCATCTAATTAATCATTAAATAGAAAAAGTTAAAAGTTGGAATCCTTAAATAAAATAATTGAAAGTTAATATATTTAAATAGAAAAAATTAAAAATTGACATCCTTATTTAGAAACTGACAAAATTAACATTCTTAAACAAAGGAAAAAAATTTAAGTTGGCATCTTTATTTACCCCTTTTCTCCCCAGTTGTCACAAAAGTTAACATCCAACACAGTCAAACTCAAAACCTTATTTCACATGTAGTAATAATTAAATTGCTAATTTCCAATTGAACTAATAATTTGATTGAAGAGAAGTCAATTTTTGTTATTTAATGTGCCGATTTGTTATCAAAATTATCCTTAATTTCAAGTGATGCAAAAATCATGTCTTTATTTCAGAACAATTAAAGTTATGCTCTCGATTTCAAATTTGTTGAAAATCCATATCTTTATATTCGAATTTTGCTTTAATTTTAAAAGAAAATTGAGTTTTCTCGAAAATTTCGGTGTCACCTTTTCTCACGTATGCCTCTCTTTCTAACTCTCTTCCTTCTTTTTTTTTCTTTTTTTTTTTTTTCATGAAGTTCAGGAGATTCATTTATAATCAAGAAGGATTACTTCTATCAAAAAAAAAAAAAAAAGAAAAGAAGAAAGATTATTTCTTTATATTAGAATAATAGCCTATTTTATTTTATTTTCAGATTAAGAATTTAGAAATAATTTATGATTTTACTTATATGAATTACTTTTAAAAAAAATAAAAATACAAAGAGATTTTTATAATATGATAAATAATTAAAGTTAGGAGATAATAATTTTTGTCTCTCTTTAAATTTGAGTAAAGAACTATTAATTTGAAATAATTTCTAAATAAAAAACACATATTATTTTGTTATAGAAAAAGTACAAAGAAATCCAAAGAATTAAGCCATATAAGCATAACAAAGCGGAGTTAAACTTAAAACACTAATAATAAATAATTTTCCCATGACATGTGAACAATTAAGTACGAAACTATCAATTACTAGAGATTACATAACAGGGGGAACAAACAGACCTAAGAGAATTACACAATTGTTCGTCCAAAGCATCTAAACATGTGATATGATAATCCAGCTTTTGGGGTAAACAGATTAGACAAGGACTTCACACATCAACCATGTGATCGACTTCCAAAGCAAGTGCTGAAACCTATCCGACCTCAACTAGTCTTATGTTTATGTTGTCATTTTTCTTCACCTTGGGCAAATCCTAGTTAAAATACAGTGAGAGAGCCAAAACAGAGATTACCAAAAGAGAGAGAAACTCTTATAAATTTGGAGAAAACAACCCAAGCGTAGGGAAAATTTTCACCTTTGTTCATGTTTCCTAGCCACTAATGGGGACAAAGACAATAACTAGCTATAGGGACAAAGAGAGATCGTAAGATGGAGCGAAGGGAATAAGAGAAGAGAGATATATGGCTCTTTAATCAACAATAAATAATTTTAGCTCTCTTATGTTTTCTTTATTTTTTTTTTTTCAATTTCTCTCTCTTTCTACCGTACTTGTTTAGCCAAGACCCAAGAAAATTCTCACAAAGATACAAATGCCATTTAATTTTCAACAGAGAACCATAAATTTTACTTTTATCTCAATAAATTACGTTCACATGATTCCTTCCAACAGGTAACAAACAATTATTGAACAAAATGAGATTGATTGTTTTTACTGGATTCCTTTCTCCACATCGACAAACTAAAATCAAATGCAAGGCTCAAAGACACGGTATATTTTGGAATCTTTTGTTCCATCGCGTTATGGTATTATTTGAATTTTTTTTTTATCAACAAAATAAAATTTTATTATATGTAGCATAAGGGTATTCCTGCTCAATTACAAAACTTAAAACCCACTGCATCAAATACAATGCCAAAACAGTAACCCAAAATGCTAGAAATCGAAAAACCCAGTGTTTAAAACTAGATGACATGTATGAGCTTCATCCCAATTGCAACGTAAAAATTCACACCAGCACCTACTTTCCACAACAGACACCAGAACTCTCATTTGTTGGTTAATCTTCATGGATACCCCCATTTCGGATTACCTGCTGTAGCTTCTTGACACTCTTTAAATTTTTGCAGTGCAGTATTATTTGAAATTAGTATGGTGTTACCTCTTATTAGACTATTATCTTTATTTGAAATTATTGTATAATGTTGTGACTGTTTTTGTGTTGTCGACTCTTCCATCTCTGTTGATGCTCTTTCGTGGTGCATTAATCCCGTGGGTATGGACATTTGCAGAGCTAGGGCTGTTTGAGTGTCTTGTTGATTTTGTTTGTTGGTTTTTTTGTTTTCTTTGTTCTCGCTCATAAGCTGCTGTGCTGAACAAGTGAGCGTGTTCTTTTTATTTGTGGGTGTACTCGTACCTTCTACTCCATTAACATTTTTTTTTTTCTTGGCCACCAATAAATTTCTTCATTTGCCTTTTTTTTTTTTTTAATACATTAAAAGTTTTGTTGTTTGGCATTGAGGGGTTTGAACTCTTAACTTGAATTTCAAATTAAGGTTTTT